GATAAAAGGCTTCAGTGTTTTGGTCCACCTCTATTAGTACTTTCCTCCTCCCAAAGACACTATGTAAGAATGAAGCCTCTTTCTCAACAGATACTCTGCCATATATTACAACCTACTCCCATATTCCTGGCGTGCATCACAGGGTTTTTCCTCATCTCAAGGAGAGCTCAGCCTAATTGTTCCCTCGTCCAAGCCCCCTGAGCAGGAAAGGACTTTTCATGATATTCATTCACTCTTGCAACAGTGCCGTACCAGAAAGATCCAGCAGAACTTGGCAGAATTTCTTTGTGATCATGTGCAAGCAAATAACCCCTTAGCGTCCTTACCTCCCTTTTTATTCCTATTTATTACTGGGGAGGTTCACAGGTGCCAGTTGCCATAGTTCTTGCTACTTTGAAAGTTCTTTGGGAACACCCGAATTGTCCTTTCTCAGGACAATTAGTCAGAGTTAGTCTGAGCCTTAAGTCAGAGGCCTTAAAGCGAAGGAACAAAAGAGGTGAGGAATGTCACATCTTAGTGCACTTTGCTCAAGGGAATCTTTGAGGCCATTATCATTTATGATATTTTGTACATTTATTAGTTGCTCTTCAGAGACCCAAAGGGCAGATAAGCATCCAGCTCCATTCTGTGTCTCTGAAAATCAGAACTGGTATGCTAGATAGACTGTACATAGGGTAAGTAGGAAAATTTCACACCTCTAAAGGCAAGCAGTTTACAAACCCGAGTGTCATAGCACCAACTACTTAAAACCAAATAATACGTGCCCTAGCTTTATAGTGAATAAGTGCATGCATGTGTGCACAGGTGAGCTCAAGCACAGCGCTGACAACAGGAGGGACGATTCTGAGCATGGAGCTTTGTCAAAACTAGGTTCAACCTATGTGCATGTTTACCTGTATGCATAGTTCATGTGGTCCCTGGTTGCATATGCGAGTATTTTTAAAATACTGTTGCTATGTGTGCTTCTTACACTCAAGTTGCGAATCGATATAGGCTAAATTTATACAGCAGAAAACCCTCTTCCCTCTGTCTATGATTGGACTAAAAGATTTTTTATAGGACATTTCCATCATAAGGGAATTCTACATCGGGTTTATAAACCCCTGAAAATAAAAGCTTTGTTACTGTAATACTGACAAGCCCTTAGCTATAGCAGTGCTAGCAGGAGCCACTCTGATACAGGGTTCAGAATAGTAATGTAGTCTAGCACCGTCCTTGGACAAACTGCTTGCATTTACAGAAATTGATGGGTTATTGTGCTGCAAACTTTTCACCTAAGAAGTTTGAGGAATGAGGTGAAGAACAATAGAGATGTCTCGCTGGGAGAATGACTTCACTACACGCAGGATTGCACAACACTTTGAAATCTTCCACCATCCCAGTCCCATGCTGTCTCCGACTTGGCAAACGCTTTTATTTAGCCAGGTATCAGTAGCTTGGGGAGAAAAAAAAGTTCCATTCTCCAGCTGTTGTGTCATTTCCCTTGATAAGTCCTAAATTGACCGAGTTATCCAGCACCAAAGGAGCTTTCCTGTGGTAGACATGCTTTATTATGTGCCCTTTCAGGGACAAAGGCTTCAGTCAGTAAACTGCTATGGAGAGGAAGGACAGATTTATTCTCACAGCATCATAAGCATTATCTTCTGAGGGGCTAATGTAAAAGGAAAAAATTGTGCAGCATTACCATCTGAAACCTAATGGCTGATGTTGCTGCTCCTTGATTATCAACCTGATGGGAGGCAGAATGAAAAGCTTGAAAGGCTGCTTCTCAGATGGGCATATTTTAAAAGATGATTTTTAAATTAAGTAGTTTTTAAAGGCAGCATTTGGTTTGGGCTTGTTCATTTGCTGGGTTATTTTGGACGTTTCGCTGGTGGTTTGGGTGGGGTATTGTGCAAAAGGGAAGGAAGGTTTGTGAATCTCCTTATTTGGCATTAGTTTTAGATAAAGCAGAAAGTCTTGCTTTCAGATTAAAAACCCAAGCAACTCATGCGTATATTTAGCCCTCCCCACAGACTGCAAATAAATATATTAACACCAGCCTTCCTTCTGTATGTGATACGAAGGGAAACGGGAAACATGACTTGTCAGCCAGGGGGAGATTTTGCAAGGCACAAATGGCAGTGAGGAGCCCAGGCACTGCCTCACTCGGAGGTGAGTTGGACAGGAGTTCAGCAACAAATTATGTCTTTGAAAACCTTTCCCCAGCACCTGGAAACACTGCAGCCTAGTTAGCATTTTAGCAATCTGAACATGCTTCGTAACACACCTGATAAGGCAAGGCTGTTTCTATTTGGGGAAGAACAGAAAGGGATAAGTATTCAAAAATATGAACATGAACATCTTGACAGTGAAAACTGGTGTAAGCCTCGCCCATTCATATTGACGCGAAAAACTGACATGATTGAAAAAATATTTCAACAGATCCTCAAACAGCCACTGGAGAGGTGGATGGGGTGAATCTGGAAGAAATCCGAGAATTTGCCAAAGCTTTTAAAATCCGGCGCCTGTCCCTTGGCCTGACACAGACTCAAGTTGGCCAAGCCCTAAGCGCCACCGAAGGCCCAGCCTATAGCCAGTCTGCCATCTGCAGGTAACAAGTTACATCATAAACTCTTCTCTCCTCAATTTGTTCTTAATTATTCAGCTTATTGCGAGGAGCATGCTTGTGTTTGAGTCTCATGTCTTCAGAACGTATTATTTAATCTGGGACTTAAATTAGCCAATAATGTTGGTATCTGGCAGCTAAAATGTTCTTACTGTGTACCTCTAAAGTAACTTTAGTCTTTTTTTTCCCTCCTACTTTTTTAAACAAGTGAGAAACAATGTTCCTGGCATTGAGAGTTAATTCAGTAGATGAGCTGGAGACCCCGCTGATGCTGGATAAGCACCAGCTGACCCTCTTCATACTGTGCCATTTTCTACAGATAGGGTTACTGAACAAATATTTCATGGCTGCATCCCTGCTAAGTTAAAACCTGTATTACTGTGGTTAGCACTTCACATATAGGATGTTAATGATGATTTACCTAGGCAACACAGAAGGGAAAAAATTATCCTTCCTGCTATCTTGCAAACCAGCAGCTATTCATCTTTTATCACCCAGATGTTTAAACAGACAACCCATATATGCAAAGCAGAAGTAGAAATCTGCCCTAATCATAAGAAATGATAATACAGTCTTGCCAGAGTTAAAGTAGTTAGAAGCAAACACTGTATATGCATGTATGTGTGTTAGAGTAATCCCATGTTTATGCATGAGGTAACAAACACACTTAGGTAACAGCTTTTTCCTCTTGGGCAATGCCTTATAGTCCTTCTCCATCAGTGAAAGCCAAGAAACCAACTCTAAGCTTATTTAAGTGGATTTTGTTCTTGGTGATCCATGAAATGCTCTGTCTTTTTATCTGCTCTTTATACTTTTAATGTATTCCCCATAGAACGGAAGTGTACTTTTCCTGCAGTTTAAGACTAAGGTTATAAATAACATCAGTATGGGGTAGTGAGCTTGCAGCTCACATTTTGCTCAATGATTTTCCATAAAACCCATTGATTGTTGTTAAATACAAAAAGCTCCATAGGATCCTCTTACTTCTATGGTCTCCCCTACTGTTTTTTCTTATAAGATACCTCCCTGTAGAAAATAACCTTTATTCAGTCTATACAAGGATACTACTGCTGGGAAATTTGTTTCAAGACTTGTATATCGTTATACCAAACAACATGTACTGCAGTATCAACACTAACAAGCAATGCCAATGATATGAATGCTATTGCTCCCTGTTGCTAAGGATTAATTTTTTTTTTTTTCTTCCCTGTGGTCAATTGGTAAAGAATGCCTAAAACGGTGGAGTTTTTAGCAATTGCCAATTTGTTGTAGCCTGCTGTTTAACATACTATACTTTAAAGTGATAAATTGCAGTTTCCTTTGCTTTTGTCTAGTTTGCTGTCTTCTCATTTCCTCCATCTACTTCACACCTGAGAAAACCACTGGGGATGGTTTGAATTTTACTAAGAGAAAGGGTTTCCCACTAACCGATTATCATGAAAACCCCAATAAAGATGAAGTTGGAGCACAGACAAGGCTAACAAAACCCCAGAATGTGGAGACCTTTTACAGAGGGCTCCTTAGAGGGGCAGATTGCTCAGAACATGAGGACTGGCTGCAGAAGTTGGTCCCAAATACTTGCAAGATTATAGGTTTTTTTATTTCCTTTGACCCCGCCGATGAATATCACTTTAGGGTGTAATCACCTGCTATGACTGTGCATTTCTTGTTACACCCTAAGACAAGCCGCTTCAGTGGCAGTATGCTGTTCCTGAGAAATAGTGGGTTTAACTTTTCTTTTAGTGATAACAAAGGAGTATCAGTACGAACTCCAGGGTAACGGAAGGGGCAGTAAGGCAAGCGAGTTGAACGACCAACTCAGAGACAGAAGTAGGGTCTCCTAGTGGCCTGTGCAGGTCATATCAGCAATATACCACCTTGCTGATATGTTCTGCATCCAAACAACAGCATTTTCTTAACTTGAGACAATGCATTCTAGAACATACACTTCAGCCTGAAATATCACTGGACACCAAGGAAGGACACCTTGCAGTCCACACCACCACCACTAGGATCCCAGGCACCAGTTACAAATTCTTTGGAGTGTTATTGTCTGAAATTATTACTTGGCTTATTCTTTTTTTTGTGAGAAATGCTTTTTTTCTTGCTGGAATATTTTCTGCAGCTGCCATGTGCTGAATAGAGACACTAAAAATTGCCAACGCCAGTCACCGAGTTGCTTTGCACAAAGGCATTGATTCGGTCGGTCTCATCTCCAGAGCACATTGTGATTAGTGGCGGCAGCGGTGCTTCAGCACTGGGCGGGCTGGAGAGTGCAGCAGCGCCGCGCAATAATTGTTGCCTTTCCACAGCGTTAAACACCGCGATGTGCTGCGTGGACATAGGCGAAGTGGGGAAATACGAATGGGTGGCATCAGAGGAGTTGGGTTAAGACTTTTTTAATGCGTAGCAAGAGAGGATGAACTCGGTAAATGAAAGAAAAACGAGTACTTGTATTATAAGACTTGAAATGTGAACTCAGCTCTTCTGCTTGTTTTTGAAAGGATTAAAGCTTTGTGTGGCTGCTTTTCCAGATGTTTTATAATACTTGTAAAATCTGGTTTGGCAAAAGAGTTTTGATGGCAAAATGATATATAGAAGACCTCATTTACAGGAAATGATATCATTCTGGTACAGTTTGCAGAAATCCCACAATAAACCCAGCTTGGTGCCACAGCATATTAGTAGACTATTATGCTGGATTTCATCTGGAAAACATGAGTCTGTCTTTGCACATTGTGGGGGCAGTCAAGATAATTGCAAAGTGTCCAGCTGTTTCAGCTGAACACTACCGTAGCTATGGGAATCTTTTTCCGACCCAGAAAAGGGATATAGTGTTAACTTGCAAACAGTGAAAATTGCTGAAAAATGAAAGGAAGGGAAACCTGATATTCAGAGGCTAGTAACTGCTGTTGGTTTGTATTATTAAAGCTGTGGTGTTTGGACAACGTGGGATGGGATGGGAAACAAAAGGATTAATCACAAAGACGGGATGATAAAGAGCAATTACCTTTGATGTCATTTCCTGTAATTAGACTTAGTCTTAAGGGTTTTGAAGATCATCAGAAATATGAAAACTCGACTCATAACCTGTATTATTTAGTGTACTTAGAATTTTGTTGTAGTGCTCGTTTTCTGTTAGCTTAAATATCTAGCTATATGTATTTATTTATAGATATACCTATCTGATAGTTTTCGTAATCCATTGTAAATTACCTCTGCCAGTCAATTAGTCAGGCAGGCAGGAAGTCCCACCCTGGCAGAGCATCAGTGTAAGACTCTTCTTTCTCAATTTTCCCTCAGACACACCATCCTGAGAAGCCACTTTTTCCTACCACAGGAAGCCCAAGAGAACACTATAGCTAGCAGTCTGACAGCCAAACTGAATCCTGGCCTTTTGTATCCTGCCAGGTTTGAAAAGCTGGACATCACCCCTAAAAGTGCCCAGAAGATAAAGCCGGTGCTTGAGCGGTGGATGGCTGAGGCTGAGGCCCGCCATCGAGCAGGTATGCAGAACCTTACCGAGTTTATCGGAAGCGAACCATCCAAAAAGCGCAAGAGGCGTACCTCATTCACGCCACAAGCCCTTGAGATCTTGAATGCCCACTTTGAGAAGAACACGCACCCCTCTGGGCAAGAAATGACAGAGATTGCAGAGAAACTGAACTATGACCGGGAAGTAGTTAGAGTTTGGTTCTGCAATAAGAGGCAAGCACTGAAGAACACAATTAAACGTTTGAAACAACACGAGCCTGCGACAGCAGTTCCTATGGAGCCTTTAACAGACTCTCTGGAAGAAAACTCCTAAAAACAAAACAAACAAAACAAGACAAAACAAAACCACACACAAAAAAACCCGCACCAACAGAAACGTAACCATTCGAACTCTGTGAAAATACCTGTTCATCACCCTTGTAAGTAAAAGACTGAGAAAACTACAAGAAGGACAGGACAGTTTATAAATGTCCGTGGGTTTTCCTATTTAAAAAACAAAACAACAAAATACACAACACTTAGTGTGTGTGTCGTAGAATTAGTTCCCAAAAAAAGAAAAAGCCAGTTTTTTTAAATGGACTTAAAGTAAACCAAATAACTGCTTACTTTTTTTCTGTATATTATGAAAATGTGAACACATTTTAAGGAAAAAAAAAAAAAACAAAACAAAAAAGAAAAAAAAAAACTTTTATCTGTTTAAAAGCGAATACAAGCCTGCCACCTGGAGGAGTGATTGTAGCCTTTCAGGTATCAAGTGCTGATTCACTATGAAAACTATTAACCAAAGTCAGAAACATGGCATTGCAAACTAGATTGTTAGTCTACTCTTTTACGAGTGTGAAATTGCATTACGAATTTTTACATTTGTATTTTGCAAAAAGGAAAACAACAGGATTAATTTCTCTCATCCTTGCTCGCACCCCCTGCAGGTGTGTACAAAGAGGTGTTAAAGCCATTCCATAGCGGTCACCTCCTTTTCTTTTCTTTCCTTTTCTTTTAGTCAACAGTTTTGCAATCTCCAAGTGTTTGGGTGCCAAAAATAATTTATTTTTACTGTGATTTGCGGGGTTTGGTATTTCTCTTCTAAGGGTGTACATCTTGGTTTGCATTTCTTTTTTTTTTTTTTCTCTGATTCTTTTTGCTGCCTCCCCTCTTCCAGCTCATTCTCCACCCCTTCCCCAAATGCACATAACCCAGTACTGTTTGAAGATTCTTAAAAAGAAAAGTGAAATCTGAACACTTTTATATTGATATGCTGAAATGCAATAGAGGACAAAGAAGGATTAGGATTCTGTCTGATGAACTGTCAGCCCACGCTGAACATTGTGCTTATTGTCAACTGTGTAGCTTGGGATTTCTCTGTCCTTTGGCCATGAACCTGGAGAGGTTACCGAAACTCATTTTGTAGTATAAATATAAACTGCACACTTGGTTCAGTACTGCATCTATATTATGGTTCTGTTTGAAGTAATTTCTCTCCAAAGTCTGCTAGCCAAAGAAATTTCTTGAGATTCTGATGAAAACAAATGGACAGGCCGAGAAGCGGTGAGGATGCTTTGGTCGTTATGTCACTATGGACTGTTTCAATGGTAGTGCTTTGTTCCTTCTGCCTTTTTTTTTATGTCATCCCGATATTGATGTTTGCCCTGTTGACCTCTTCAGTAAGAGGATGTGTTTCTGCAGGTGTTTGCTGTGACCACTGGCTAGGCTAAGCAATCAGGATATAGGGAAACCCATTGAATACCCTTTGGGAATAGTAAGGTGGGTCACCTGCAATATGTTTCAGGCGAATCGATTCTCCTTTAAAGACAACTTATCTCTGTGTCTTCCTTTTTGATTGGACAAGCATCTTCTAAAATATTATGGTCATTGGACCTACGAGTATACCAAGGCTCAGAGGCAGAGAAAGGTGTTGAAGGTTCTCGATGGGGTACGGGCTGACCTGTGAAGGTCCCCTGCGATTTTCATCTTCTGCTGAGTTCTGCTCCAGCCTTTGGGGTTCAGCCCACTGTTGCGCTATGTAGAAGCTGTATCTTGATCAGGACTTTCCAAAAGATAACATCGGGGATTTGGTTCAGCTCACTGTAGAGGTGGTAGAGTACAATTCTGCTGGTATAACTCCGGATTGTGTTCACTGACCTCAGGATAGTTGTACTGGATTTTTGCTGGTCTACCCGGGATGTTGAAGGAGGTTCCCGAAGTCCTGGAGTCTTCACATAACACCTCTCTCACAGAGTTTTCATGAACTCAAGGCTATATCCAAAACTTAGTGAAAGAAAGGGACTTCCATTGATTTCACTGGGCTTTGAATCTGGCCCTCGCTATTTTATTAATGGGATTTGCCTTGTAGAATGGGGTATTTGCTGCTTGGCTGGTGGAGTTTTAAGGCTTCAGAGACCATCATCTGTGCCAGAAACTGCCTCTAAATGTGAGCACTCTCAAAGGTCAGGGTTGGAGAGCACTGAGGATCCAGTACTCTGGGCTGGGCTCACGTCCAGCAAATGCATTTTAGGCTTTAAGCTGCAGCAGGGTATGTTTAAGGATATTTTCAGTATTGCTTTTATGAGGAGGAGAGTGAGCATTATTATTGACATTTTTCTGACTGTTGATATATAAATATCTGCTGTGGGAAAAAACATCTCGGTAACCACAGGCAAGTTGTGAGGAGCAAAAAAGATGCTTTACCCAAGCTGAGCATGTGAAGTAAAGAGAGTCTCACAGCAACATCTGCCCCTCTGGGTTTTCGTTTTTCCCGCTCTATCCACAGATACCTATATCCACAGATATATCTATGTTATCTATACCAAACAGCCCTAAACTTGTGGCCACAATTCAATTTACATAACAACCAAGAGACCACCCAGAAGCCAACCGGGAAGCAGGGAAAAACAGATGGTATTTGGAAGCAGACACTCCTGAAGTCCTACCCGTGTCTCCAGTACACTGCTAATTGTCCAGTCATTAATGCCACACACACGATTACCTGTTCAGCCAGCCTTGAGACCGTACACTCCCCGCCCCTGCCCTCCACCCCCATCATCAACAGCCTGGGAACAAAACTGTCAACCATTCTTTGCCTAAAAACTAAATTTCCAATTCTCCCAGGGACTGCTCTAAATCTTGTGAAGAAAAATCCCCCAAGAAGAAAAGTTAACTAAACAGTGTATGAAAGATACTAAATGTTTAAAAATATGCTGGCAGTGGTTATATAAGCTCTTTTCTGTTCCAAAGTACATATCGGAAGGATATAACTAGGACAGTGAAAATGTAAAATAAATATAAATCGCCAGCTTGGAAGAAAAAATGATGTTCATCCCACAGTCTTAAAACCATTCATGTGCAGTGATTTTTTTTACAGTTTTCTAATTTTGTATTATGTTTTGTAAATTATTTATAAAGTGTTGTAATGCTTCTTATATTAATTTTTTTATAAACAAATTTTTGCTATGAGGCGTAAATGGTGCCTGAACAGATTCTTAGGAAGATAAATGATGTGTGAGTCATACATCTTTGGGGGGCTATAAATATTTTGTTTTATTTTGTTACTGGCAACATTTCTAGTTTCCATTTGTAAACAATTTTCATGTATCGATTACATTTGAATACCTTTTAATTTTGCATGTGACTAAAAGATATATTGCTACCAGCAAATGAAACAAAAGTCTCTTCAGTCATATGTGAAGGTTTAATGGTTTTCCAATTTATTGATCATTGAATTTTTTTGAATAT